CTAAGTAACTTTTTGTTGGGCTAACATTAAAATTGCCATATCATTCCATGCAATGAATTAAGTTAAGGTAGGCTGAAGTCTTTAATCTTTTTTTTCACCCCAATTTAAAATAAAATACACATAACATAAAATTTATCGCTTTCACCATTTTTAAGTGTATAGTTCAATGATTAAGTACATTCATACTGTTGTGGAACCATCGCCACCATTCATCTCGAGAACTCTTCATCTGTCAAAACTGAAACTCTATACCCATTAAACAATAAATCCCATTCCCTTCTCCCACCAGCCTCTGGCAGGCGCCATTCTATGTTCTGTCTATGAATTCTACTACTCTAGGTACCTCATGTAAATGAAATCATACAGTATTTGTCTTTATACCATTGGTTTATTTCACTTAGCATAATGTCCACAAGATTCCTCCATGTTTTAACTTACATCAGAATTTTCTTCTTTTTTAGGCTGAAAAATATTGCATTGTATGTGTACACCACTTTTTGCTTGTCTGTTCCATCAATGGACACTTGGGTTGCTTCTACAGATGATCCACAACTTAGATGGTTTGACAATATTTTCTGATGTTACGATGATGCAAAAATGAAATTCTCTCAGTGAAAACTGTACTTTGAATTTTGAATTTTGATCTTTTCCAAGGCTATCAATATGGAATATGAAACTCTTTCCTGATGCGTGGCATTATAAAATAGGATTTGTGGTAGATGATTTTGCCCAACTGTAGGTTAACATAAGTGTTCTGAGCACGTTTAAGGTGGACTAAGCTAAGCTATGATGTTCAGTAGGTTAAGTGAATTAAATGCATTTTAACTTAACTATATTTTCAACTTACAATGGGTTTATTGGGACATAAGCCCATCATAAGTGGAGGAGCATCTGTATATTTTAGCTGTTGTGAATAAATGCAGTTATGAACACACACGTACGACACTTCTTCGAGATCCTGCTTTCAGTTCTTTTGGATACATTCCCAGAAATGAAATTTCTGGATCTTATAATAACTCTATTTTTAATTTTTGGAGGAACCACAATACTGTTTTCCAGAGAGGCTGTACCATTTTACATTCCCACACAGTGCACAAGGGTTTCAATTTCTCCACGTTTTTGCCAACATTTATTTTCTGATAATCCACATATATATCTGAAGTGATGTCTTTAACCAGATCTTTCTTCAGTTCTTCTGTATAGACTGTTAATTTCTCTGATTTCTCTGTTAGTTCTTCGTGCCAAATTTCAGAGTGTCTTCATCAGTTCCAAGGCCTTTCATGGCAGTATAGAGTTCATCAGCACCCAACTGGGCTGGAATTTTAATATAGCCAAAGCAACTCCCTCAAGGTGACCCATAAGGGCTTTATTCGAAGCTTCATCCAGGGGCTTTTCTTCCTCCTAGAAATATGTTGCTTTGATCTGTTGATGCTGTGCATTGTTTCTCTTAGAATGTCATTGATGGTTGCTTTATTCACACCTGGAAATCTCAATACATCAATTGTTTTCCATCAATATCTCAGCAGTTCTTGAAACTATAAATTGTTATGTGATTCTAAAGTTCCTGTGGATGAAAGAAGAGCAACTTTTGGATTCCTGTGAAACTTTCTACTCTGGTCCAAGAACAGATTAGTCCTGCCAAATCTGAGGTGTGGAAGGCGGGTGGCATGGGCAGATGACAGAACTCAGCTTTAAGTAGTCCCAGGCGGAAATGTGGGTAGAGTCTTGAGGCATGGGGTGAATAGAGGGCTGACCCCAAACAGCCTTTCCGTGTCCCCCCAGGCAGTGATTTACAATGGAAAAAAAAATTCACTTCAAGTATCAAAGATGTACTGAGGACATCTAGATGGCCCTGGAGGCTCATTTCCAACCCTCCCCCTTTAGTAGCTCAGCAGAGAGAGATCAGTAGGTCTGAGTTAGCACAACCAGTCTAAGACTAGATCTTCTTTAACTCTGAAGCCAATTTTGTTTTAGAATCACATAAAAGTTTCTTACTTTTTCTCCCTTAAAAGTAGAGCATTACAGCAGGAGGGGGTTCCTCTCTAGGGAACACTGGCCCTGATACCTGCGGTTTTTTTTTTCTTTCTGTGGGGAAAGGAGAATTCAGAGGTTTGCCTGTGGTCCTCTACTTATAAGCTTATAAGTTCTGTTCTCCATAAACCTCATTTATACTCGTACTTTGTGGTACCAGCGGTCTATGTCCAGATCCCTTTTAAGAATGCAATCGTTAAAAGTCCCCTATGGATCAGATTATTTCCAGCACAGACTATCTTAGCTTCATCCAGTTTCCTCTTAATTTAAAAATTGCATTGTTTGTTTAATATTAATAATAATAAAGCTTTGAAAATTATTTTCTGAGTGCTTGTTCTATGCTTTTCTCTAAATTGAATGTAATATGGTTTTGGGGAAGAAAAAACAACTGGAGTGAGGAAGTAGAAAAGACAATATTCAGTGGGGGTGGATGAGTAAGATGAAACTCTAAACTGTATTTACAAAGATAACTTAAAGGGCATATAACTATTAATAAGAGCAAGAATTCCCCTTATGTTCATCCCAGCATTCTCATGATGTCAAGGAAAGATCCACGGGAAAATACATAAAGAAAGCCTCCTTGGTTCAGATATCATCTCAGGCTAAGGCATGTCATGTTAAGACCTGTCCTTTGCAAACATAACACAGAGTTCTTTTGGGCGACGGAAGGTACAGCTGCAAATGGATGTGAGAGTTTATCATATGTGAAACAGACGCCTCGCTGTTTTTCCTATGAAAGGATATTGATTTCAGATGGTCAGGAAATAAAGTTCCGCTGGCATGCAATAGGTAGACAGACGCTCTGGCAAACAGAATATCCTTTTGTAACGTATCTATTACCAACCATTGGTGGAAGAGCACTGCTGAATTACCTTCAGACATTGAGGTGGCTTTCTGAAGGACCTGGAAAGAAGTTTTTTTCTGGATTCTGGAGCTTAAGTAAGTGAACTGTTATAAATAATGGGTAACAAGACTATATCCCACCTCCTAAAGCATGGAGTTAATGGTTCTTTTAGTTCTAATTCCGTAATACCTTGCCAATCTTTTTATCACAGAATAGTGATATCTGGGATTGAGAAAGTTAACAAGCAGTTGAGTGTTTCAAAAGAGAAGGTCTACTCTCAAATTTTAGTGTTGGATTGCTAATAATTGAAAACTGGTTCTATCTGCCCTAAATCTCAGAAATGGTGCTCCTTCTCCAGTCTCTTTTCTTTAAAGAAGTCAAAGAAAACTGACTGTGATGCCAATGTTTTAGACCTGACATAAATGGTATAGTTATTAAATATAAATAGCTCCTAAAAGGTTTTTGCTAATATTTTTAATTGTATTTTTAAAAGTAGACTTTACAAAATATCAAATTTATTGAGGTATAATTGACATATAATAAACTACATATGGTTAAGGTGAGTATTTAAGTTTTATGTGTATATACTTGTAAAACAATCTCTAATCAATATGATAAACATATCCATCACTCCCAAAAGTGATGGAAAAGTCATGCACTTTTGTAATTGTTCCCTTCTCTACATTTTCCTGTCCTCAGACACCATTAATCTACTTTTATAGAGATTGCTTGCACTTTCTAGAATTTTATGTTCATGAAATCACACAGTATGATCCATTTTTTCTGTCTGACTTCTTTAACGCAGCACAATCCTTTTAAGATTCATACATGTTATACACCTGAAACTAATATAAAATAATATTGAATGTCAACTCTAATTGAAAAATTTAAAAAAGAAAACTGAAATGGCCAGGTTCTGAAATTAAACCACAATAATAACTAAAAAAATTAAAAATTCACACATGCGTGTAAAATGGTTCATTCTTTTTTACTGCTGAGTATATTACATAATGGTAAAGGAGAGAGATACCAAATAACTATGAATCATTTATTGATTACTACATTTCTTTGGAAATTGTAATCTGACTTTCTGAGTCGTATGCCAGCCTACCTTCCCACACTGGGATGTGAATAGTCTAATGGACCAGTGTTGCTGAGAAGCATTTGTCGTATGTATCAGATATGTAAAATAGGAAAATATAAAGCACCATTACTTTAAATATTTTTTCACATTGGCTTTTCACATTGGAGAAGGAGCACCATTTCTGAGATTTAGGTCAAATAGGCCTCTCAAATTTTTTTTCCAAAGTAGATAGGACCAAAGGAATTTCTTCCTTCAGATCTTGACTCATTTCTTTAGCACATGGCTATCATTTGAATAAAGTCCTATAATTCCCTTTAAAAAATATAGTGTTTAACCACTTTTTATTGTTGTTGTTTTTATGTAATTTTTTTTTTTTTACTTACTGATCCTATGAATCAAGTCACATTTGCGACTATGAATTAGAGTAGGATTGCCAGATAGAACACAGAATGTCCAGTTAATATTTCAACAGCTTTTCTTTTTAAAAAATAAATAATGTATAAAAATATTAACAAGCTCTTTTATCTCTACTGCAATTTGGTTTCACCTTACTTGTTCAAGGACATGAATTCAAAATACACTTTCCTTATTTTACCATGCACATTCAGGCATTTATGCTTTTGTGCTTATCATTTTTTGTTCTTTCTCCCATTCATTCACTTAGAACATTTTTTCTGCTCCATGTTACACCTGTTAGAGAAGATGTTCACTTAGTATGTTAGGTCTCAAAGTGAAGGAGAAATAAACAGCAGAGTGTGAATTAGTGAGAGAGAGGGACTGAGAACGCTTCTTTTGCTCAGAACCCTTTGGGAGGGTATGGTCATTTTATTGAGCACTGAAAGGAGTTATACTCTGCAAGGAGAATCTTGAGGTTGTCCCTCTATATGTTCTTGATTTAATTTCATGTACCTTGACAATTCCTATTCAATATGCAATATTGAATATTGAATAGGAATTGTCAAGGTACAATAATTTCATGTACCTTGACAATTCCTATTCAATATCGCGTAGTCTATGACTTTTTTCTTGTCTTCTTTGCAGGCATGAGGAAGCCTAAATCCTTTTCTTTTTCTGGGTGCTATGTGAGCTTGCTTCTTCAAGTGATGATATCAACGTCAGGTAAGAACATCTGTTTTTTTCTTACTGAGTCACAATGATGGAAAGAACCTAAGACAGACTTCTAGTGTTCAGTCCAGTATGTAAAAAAATCAAGTAAAAAAGCTGAAAAAAAAAAACCCTAAAAGTCAACGACTTGTTTTTAGGTCCAATAGAGAAGTGAGGTCACAGAACAAACTGCTGCCCCTTTCTCCCAAAATGGGTCAGTTAGACAAGTAGAGAGTTAGAGACTCACAACCTCCCAGACCAGAAACCTCTGTGGGAAGCAGTACCAAGGTAGGAAGATATAAACTGTAATTACTGAATTGCTGAAGGCTCAGTGTAGTCAACTCTGATGAGAGTTAAAAACTCCAAGAAGGCCTAGTCATGGGAGAACTCACTTTTGTGAATTTTGCCTCCAGGATTTTTACTAGGTTCTCACGATGAATACTGGAGAAAAATCCCCTCCTGATACAAATGAGGAAAGAATCTATAAGTTTGAAGATACATCAATAGAAACATCTAAAACTAAAAAAAAAAAAAAAAAAGGAAAATAGTTTTTTAAAAAGAAGAGAAAATCCAAGAACTGTGGGACAACTACAAAAAAAATGTGATATGTATTATATACCTGGAATAACAGAAGAAGAAAAAGAGAAAGGAATTGAAAAAATATTTCAAATAGTAATAACTGAGAATTTTCCTAACTTAATGTCAAGAACCAAATCATAGATCCAGGAAGCTTAGAGAACACTAAGCAGGATAAATACTAAAATACTACATCGAGGCATAGCATTTTAAAACTGTAGAAAATGAAAGAAAAAGAAAAAAATCTTGAAAGAAGCCTGAGGGATAAAAAACAGCTCACTTATAGAACTTAAAAGAAAAAGTTCTTCACAGAGAAGGAAAATGATACAGGTCAGGAAACCAGAGCTCATAGAGAAAAGAAGAGCAATAGGAAAGGAATAAATAAAGGCAACATTAAAACTTTCATTTTTTCATTATTCATTCATCTAAAGATAATAATAGTTTGTTCAAAATAATTAACAACAGTGTAATCAATGATTATAGTTTATGAATAACTGAAATAACGACAGTGATGATGCAAGGGACTGGAGAGAGAGACTAGGAAATCTTGGTTATTATAAGGTATTTGCATTCCCCCATAAAACAGTATAGTGTTATTTTTTAAAATACCCATTGAAAAACAACCCCCCATTGTCCCCTCCTTCCAGCCAAAGAAAACTATCATTTTACTCTATGTTTTTATGAGTTTGACTATGTTAGATACCTCATATAAGTGGAATTATTTTATTTGTTTGTTTGTTCGTTTGTTTGTTTTTGATAATAAAGTCATTGCTATAAGCTTGATTTTATTAGTATTTGGTCAGTGAGTCTCCCAAGAGTACAGAATGAAAGCCAGATAATAACGACTGGAAAACTGGCCCCATATTTATTTTTCTATTCACATTTTATACACCACCAGTTTTAACAAAGGATTTGAGGAAGCCAGATACCATAAATGAAACTGTGTCTCTCTCTCGAGGTAAGGAGACTCACTGATCTTGCTTTATAATTATTTTTCAATTACAATACAACTACTAAGAGTTTAAGCTCCCATTGTCCTCCTGTGACTGGTTTATTCAGTTTAATATATTCTTTTCCAGGTTCATTTATGCTTTAGTATATGACATGATTTCATTCTTTTTAAAGGCTAAATAACATTCCCTGTTTTGTATATGTCACACTTTTTCTCTTGTAAAACTGAAACCATTTATATTAAAAGTGGATATCTCGTAGACAACATTGGGTCTTGTTTTTGACTCACTTTGACAATCTCTTTTTTTTTTTACTTTTTTTATTCACTTGATGTTATTTACATAACTTCCAGTTTTGCACATTTAACTCCTTTTACCCTATCTACCTTCCTCCTGCCCCCTCTGTCTTTTAACTGACCACTGACATTTAAAGTGATTATCAATTTATTTGGATGAATATCTAACATATTTGTTACTGTTTTCTATTTGTTGCCCTTGTTCTTTGTTCGTAATCTTTTTCGCCATGTGTGGTTTTATTTTCTATCAAGTATAAATTTTTATTGTGGTAAAATACACATAAAGTAATGCTAACTACTTTACCTATTTTTAGGTATACAGATCGGTAATATTAAATATATTCATAATGTGCAATCATCGTTATCTTTTCCTTTTGCCTGGATTATCTTTTTCCATCCTTTCATTTTCACTTTATTTGAGTCTTTGGCTCTAAAATGGGTCTTTTGTAGATAGCATATGGTTGGTTGATGTGTTTTTATTCATTTTGCTAACTCTGTTGATTGGAGAGTTTAATCCATTTACATTTAAAGTAATAACTTATTTTTGTCATTTTTAATTTATTTTTCGTATGCCTTATAGCTTTATTGTGCCTCATTTTCTTCATTACTTTCTTCTTTTGTGTCTATTGATTTTTTTGTATTAAAACATTTAAATTCTTTCCTGATTCCCTATTTTATATATTCTAATGCTATTTTCTTTGTGGATATAATGGTGATTGCATTTAACATCCTAAAATTATAACACTTTAATTTGAATGTATAACAGCTTAACTTCAATAACATACAAAAACTCTGTTTCTTTAACTGCTCTCTATGCATACTTTTTTCACTTGTTGATGTTACAAAATTACATTTTTATACATTGTGTTCCCTAAGACATAAATTAATTCTTTTAAATGCATTAGTCTCATAAAATATAAAATGTGGACCTATAAACCAAAGTTACAAAAATGCTAGCTTTTAGACTAATAACTATTTCTTTTTAATGTATTAGTCTCTTAAATCACATAGAAAACAAAAAGTGAAGTTGGAAACCATTATTAAAATAATAATAGCTTTTATAATTGCTCATGTATTTACCTTTATTGGATACTGGATATTTGCCTCTAGTGTGTAAACTCAAAGTCATATTATCCTCCTTCTCCAGGATTTGCTGGCTTTTTTGTTATTGTTTTCTTTATTGTTTTTGCTTTGTTTTACTGTTGTCGGCTGTGTGGCAAGCTTCAGCCTGAGGTGTAAAGTTCATATCTCCTCAGGTCTTTTCTGAGCCTGTCCTTTTTCCTGGGCATGCAGGGTCACTTTCTAATTTCCCCCAAGAGCATTTGCTTTTGAACGTTTTAATCTTTAATTTCTGGACCCCAAAAGGGAAAAAGAGAAAAATGAAGGGGTGGATGAAAGGATGTTGACCCTTTAAATTCCCTGGATATCACTTCAGTTAGAGGGAAGGGGCTCGAAAAATAAGGAAAGGTACAACAGCACTGGCTACTTGCCTCTTTGTCTTCCAATCTCTGTGATTGGAAGCAGCAATCAGCAATCACAATACAAATCCCCAATATTTGAAGGACAGAGTCCTTTTTGCCTACATTGGCTCCCATAAGCTATGTGAAAGTTGCTGCATGGACAGCTGAAGGTGGGGAATGGGTAGCTGTTACTGTGATATGCACTGAAATTGACCAAAATTAATGCAATTTACCATTCAAGCTCTCCCCTGAAATTGAAGGCCCTCAATAGACTCCAGAGTTTTACAATAGTTTCAGTGTAATTATTGTCTAAGTAGGGAGTCAGATACTTGCTGCTTTCTGCACTGCCATCTTCCCAGAACCCAGCTGTGTATATTTTAGAGAGAATAATGTAGTAACACTGGTCTTTTCAAAAAAATAAACTATTGATTTAAACAGAAGGGGATATATTCAGAGCTGGACATTTAGAATGGCTAGGTCAGATGGAAAAAATACGATGTGCCCTTCAGTGTGTAGCAATGGAGATGTTTGTTGGCCTCAAATTTATTCTAGTTTTCTGTCTTTTGCTACAGAAAACTGGACAGTGAACACTTCCCCGGGACACTTGGTGGCCATAGTAGGAGGACAGGCTGAGCTAAGCTGCCACTTGTTCCCACCACAAAGTGCAAAACACATGGAGGTATGCTGGTTCAAGGGTGACCGATCCAAGCTTGTTCATCTATACAGAGGTGGCCAAGAAGTAAATGAAGAAGCTGCCCCAGAATATGTGGATCGCACAGAGTTTGTGAAAGAGGCCATTGGGGAGGGCAGACTGACTCTCAGACTTCATAATATCAGTGTTTCTGATGATGGACCATACCAATGTTCATTTAAAGATAGTGATTTCCATGGTGTGGCCAGCATGAATCTCAGTGTGGCAGGTAAGTTTTTGGTGGAACATTGCATACCCATGGCCTTGTGACCCCATGAGCTGAAATATGCGAGAAAAAATATCAAATTTTTTCTTTTTATTTCTTGTCTTTTTATTTTATAAAGTTTTTCAAGTATTATAAATAGTGAGGAAACCCCATATACCTACTGCGTAAATACACTATGCAGTGAATAGACAGTGATGAGTGAACAGAGATAATCTAACTTGTAGCTTAGATGAGGATTTGAGTATTACCCCTTCTTATATTGCAGAACATAAAAATAATAAGACTTTTTCCTTTCAACTTTCAACTCAACCTCAACGTAATAACTATCTTGCTTTCTGTCTCGTTTACTCAGCATTAGGCTTGGAGACACAGATCCATATAAAGACTCCTAGTGCTGATGGACTCATGGTGGAGTGTAACTCAGGAGGTTGGTTCCCACAGCCCCAGATGGAGTGGAGAGACAACAATGGAGAGGTAGTTCCACCTTCATCAAAATCCTATTCACAGGATGGAGCCAAATTATTCCACGTAGAGATGACTCTTCTCCTCAGAAACAGATCACAGGGCAATATGACTTGCTACATTCGCAATCCTCTAATAGGTGAAGGGAAACAAACAAATATCATCATAGTTGGTGAGTATTCGGCAGGGGTTCAGTTGTCAATAAAGTGACATGAGAAAATTAATGAGATAATTAACCTTAAAAAGCTTCGTACATTATCAAGCACCATTTGAATGTGACTCTTTATTGTTGTTATGGGTTTTGGTGCTACAGATATTGTCAAGTGCTGAGAGGAGGGGTTTAGAAGAAAAAAAATTAGAAGAAGGATAATGATGACCCATAACTGAAATACACATTACAACTTTAGAGATACTTAAAGTTCATTATTTCATTAGACCCTCACACTATTGTTGACAAATATGTCCAAACCTGTAGAGAATTTTTATGAGTTTATTTGAGCCAAACTGATGACGTGCCAGGAAGCAAAATCTCAAATGCTCCCAAGAATGTCAGTTTTACAGTTTAGTTATATATACATTTGTAATTAAAGAGAGAACATAGGGAAGATTACAAGAAGGTGCAAGAAAGCAAGCCAGGGAAATCTCTATGATTATAGAATAGGTAACAAAATTGTGTGCTCCCTTAAGGGTGATTATGACTCCCAGGGGTCTGAAAAAGAAGATTGCTCTGGCATTTCAAAGTTGTATTAACCTAGATTCACAAGAATAATGGACAGGGCTTGCTTAAAGTGAAGTTAAATCTTTTACTAAGGAAGTCATAGGCCTGAGGTATGACCTGCCCACCATGACCTGCCCAGTTAAGACTTTATGATCAGATCGCCTTTTGAGGTTACTTTTGGTTACTGATTTATTAGAGCCTCTTTTTTATTCACAGTATTCATGTGTAAGCGCAACAAGATTCTAGCTCAGTGACTTAAAGGATGTCACTTACCCTTAACTATAATTTTCTCATCTTAGAAATAAGTCTAATCATACTTCTTGGGTTTTTGTGGCTCTCAAATATATTAGTAGAAGTAAAATATCTTTGCTCGTTGTCATGTAATATTCAGTATGAACACTATCTTTAAAACTTCTTGAAAATTTAGTAAGGGGGAGTTATTATAGTCATTTACAGGCAGACAGATGTTGAGGGAAGCCAGTCAAAGCAACAGTAAGTAAATGTGGAACTACAGCACAGGTTTCCTGATTATTGGTCAATAAATATATCACCCCTTAGAACCCAGTGGGTGGACATCAAAGGCCAAACAGGAAGAGACCATCTCCTAGCTAAAGTATCCTTAGCTAACACCTATGCAAAAAAAATAAAGTTTGATTACAGGAGCAGAGTAATGTGTCTCCAGATGTCACTTCAGGGAGTCTCTTTCTAGACAGATGGCACAACTTTTTCTCTTAAAAATTGTCTTCAATTCTCTTGGAAGATTAGAAAATGGACTGAAAGAAAAAAAAGAAAAGAAAAAGAATGTTACGGAGACCAGTCAATACGGCAGAGAAGGTAAAGGCTGTGTATACCTCCTCTCACAACCACACCAAAATTATAACGAAACTACAAAGCAACCAGCGTGCAGAGGCATCTGAGGTCTGGCTGAACAGAAGCCCTACATACAACTAATGACAAAAATAAGAGGTCACCTCAAACCAGTAGGAGAGGCAGAGAGGTGAAATGGCCTGGTCCCACAACCGCGTGTGGCAATCAAGAATCAGGAAGTTATCTTGGCTGCAGAGCCCCCTCCTCCACCTGAGGAGTGAGGGGTTCCTGGCCACACTGGGCTCCCCAGCCCAGGGTTCCAGTGCTGGGAAGAGAAGTTCCTACAACCTCTGGCAGTGAAATCCAGCAGAAGTTGTGGCCGAGCAAAATGGAAGGCTGCAGAAATTGGAGATGTTCCTCTTAAAGGGCCCATACCTGGCCTTACTCACTGATGAACTCATTCTCTCTGAGCTCCAGTGCTGGGGTAGCTGCTTGAGGAGGACCAGGGACATACAAGGAGACACCAAGTTGTTGGGCTTCAGGTTAAGGGCTCAAGGAGTGTCTTTCTCCCGGACAGAAGTGCTGGCAATATCTGTTGTTCCTTTGTGAACCCTTCTTCCTCCCAGCCTTTGGACACAGGTACCACCAGATAGACAGAAGTGCTGGCAGTATCCATTGTTCCTTTGTGAACCCTTATTCCTCCCAGCCTTTGGCACAGGTACCACCAGACCTGAGTTGTCATCTATCTGATTAACACAAATCACTTTGCTCAGGTGATTCCCTGAGATTTGTGGGCCCAAGCCATTTCCAGTAGTTTAAACCATACAAATGGCCTGTCTTGGCTTTTGTGCGGACATTCCTAAAATCCCTCAAGGCTCACAAAAACCAAGGAAATAGCATCTGGCCTGGGTGTTTTCTGTACCTCTTGTTGAGCAGCCCTAAGCCCCACACTAATGGCAGCCAGCCTCAGTTTCTGGCTTGGCCTCTCAAGGCACCTATAAACCCAGCACAGGTGGCAGCCATCTGTGGATTGCTTGGTGACATTTACCAGGTGGCCCTGGAGGTGACAGGCTGTGGCCAAACTTGGCCTGCAGCTGGGCCCCTCCCAGGATTGTGCCAGTGGGCCCCACAGGACACCTACCACATAAAGCCACTCTACTGAGACTGGGACACTTAGGAGCCCCACCTAATACATAGAAACAGACACAGGAAGGCAGCCAAAATGGTGATACAAAGATGCATGTTCCACATGAAAGAACAGAAAAAAGCCCCAGAAAAAGAACTCAACAAAATGGAGACCAGATGCAGAATTCAAAACACCAGTTATAAGAATTCGCAACGAACTTAGGGGAAGAGTAAATGAACTCAGTGAGAACTTTAACAAAGAGATAGAAAACATAAAAGAGAATCACTCAGAAATGAAGAATACAATATCTGAGATGCAGAGGGAATCAACAGAGTGGATGAAATAGAGAATTGAATCACCGAAATAGAGGCTGGGGTAGTGGAGGACACTCAATAAGAACAGCAAGAAGAAAAAAATGAAGATAATTTAGGGAGCCTCTGGGACAATATCAAGCATAACAACATTCGCATCAAAGGATACCAGAAAGAGAAGAGAAAGCAAGAAATTGAAACCCTATTCGAAGAAGTAATGATGGAAAACTTCCCTGACCTGGTGAAGAAAATAGAAATACAACCACAGGAAGTTCCGAGAGTATCAAACAAGATGAACCCAAAGAGGTCCACACCAAGACACATCATAAATGCCAAAGATTAAATACAAAGAGAGAATCTTAAAAGCAACAAGAGAAAAGCAATTAGTGATCTACAAAGGAGTTCCCATAAGACTGCCAGTTTCTCACCAGAAACATTGCAGGCCAGAAGGGGTTGGCACAAAATATTCAAAGTGATGAAAACCCAGGACCTACAACCAAGATTACCCAACAAAGCTATCATATAGAATCCAAGGACAAATAGTTTCCCAGATAAGAAAAAGCTAAAGAAGTTCATCACTACAGGAAATGTTGGAGGGACTTCTTTAAGAAGAAGAAAAAAGTATGTATCAAAAATATGAATAAAGAATGGCAATAAGTACACATCTATCAACAAGTACTTTAAATGAAAAATAATTAAATGCTCCAATCAAAATACAGGGATGGCTGAATGGATTAGAATACAAGACCCTTAGATAAGCTGCCTACAAGAGACTCACTTCAGATTAAAAGACACACACAGACAGAAAGTAAAGGGATGGAAAAAGATTTTTCACGATGGACCTAGAGGGTATTGTGCTGAGAAGAGTAAGTCAGATAGAGAAAGACAAATGCCATATGATTTTACAAACATGTGGAATCTAAAGAATAGAATAAACAAAAAAAGAAACAAACTCATAGATACAGAACATTTTGAGGGTTACCAGATGGGAGGGGGTTGAGGGAGTGGTGAGAAAGGGGGAAGTGATTAAGAAGTACAAATTGGTAGTTATAAAATAGTCATGTATATAAAGTATAGTATAAGGAATATAGTCAGTAATATTGTAATAACTATGAATGATGTCAGAGAGGCACTAGATTTATTGGAGTCATCACTTTGTGAGTTACATAGATGTCTAATCACTGTGTTGTACACCTGAAACTAATAGAATGTATGCCAACTATAACTGAAAAATAAAAAATATTTTTAAAAAGATTTTTTAAAAATGAACATTGCCTTGATCAGATAGGAGTCTGTAACAATGATCTGGGAAACAAATATAGCAGAAAAGATGCTAAGAGTTGGTAAGATTCTGTAAATATTTTAAATAAAGTGCTGAAGAGATTTACTGATTGACTACGTAATGAAAGAGAAAGGGGAATAAAGAATTATTCCAAAGTTAGGGACCCAAGTTGTGAAAGATATGTTTTCATCTACCGAGATGAGGAAGTTTGTGAGATGAGCGTATTTTAGCGATAAGACCATGCCTATAAGACTTGCAAATGAAAATGTTGACTAGAAGTTAGATATGAGTTTAAAGTTCGGTGGACAAAACCAAGCTTGAGACATAATGTGAATTCAACCTACGAAGCATATTTAAAGCAATGAAACTGAACAAAATCACAAAAGGAGTGAGAATAGATAGAAAAAATTAAAAATCATTCCCTAGAACTAAATTTTGGAGCATTCACCTTTTAGATGTCCTTTAGATGATTAAGAGAAATCTGCAAAGTATCTGAGAAGGAATAAGGATAGAGGTAGGAAAAAACAAATAGACACAACAGTCAGAAAGCAATATTTATATTTGTTTTGATTTCATTCTTTTATCAATGATGAAAATAATCTGCATTTTAATCTTTCTTATCATTGCAAATCAATAAAAATTATTAGTATATGTGCTGCTGAAGCAAGCATAATAAAAATTATTAGATAAACTCAAATATTAGTTTCAGATAGATTCAAATTGGATAGAATATAAAATAAGCATAATATTTGAGAAAAAAAGCCATAGCAGATAGAATTAAAGAAATAATATCTAAAATTGGATTCTATCATAATTAATACGTTTTAAGGAAAAAGGCTTTCATGGACTATATGAGCAATATTGTTATAATTTTTCACATCCTAAGTAATAAATAAAGCTCTCACACCTTCATTGAATTCATAAATATTAACATAGGTTAAAAATTTGACATAAAGTAAACATGAAATCTGCAAAAACACTGCACGGTACACTTTGTTTTTTTTTGAAAAGCTATCTAAAAAATGTTGCTAACATTCAAAAGTACCAAATATATGGGACAGGCATATATGCAACCGAAATATAAATATTTAAGATATTTTCTTAGTTATAAACTAGAACAGAGATATAATAATAAGAAGTAAAAAATCTCAAGAAAAATCTGAGAAAAAATAACAAGTGCTTGACATTAGCCACAAAATACAGAGTCACAAGGCAAATACAGAACCTATTTGAAAAACAATACATATTCTGTCTAAAAGACCTCAAAAGGACATAAATATTTGTGGAGGAATACTTTGTTTTGAATGGGAATATTTATGTCCATGAAGATAAAAATAATCCAAAATCAATATGATCACTTTATTGTAGTTAGTTTTTTATCTGATAAAAGATATTCTACCTCATTATTTATTTAAACTTTTTTTCTACCATTTGCAGATATTCATTTTTCCATACTAACTTCAAAATTACTTTATTCAACTTTTTTTTAAAAAGGCTTCCGAAGGATTTCTGTTCAGAATGTCTTTAAATGAAGAAAGTGATTATGAATGATGAAAGTTAAATAACTTGTGATAATTCATGATCACAGAATGTTATTTATTATCACAAGAATAGGCCATTGTAACAATAATAAAAATTAGGAAAGATAGAAAGAGATCCAGATCATAAAGAAACAGTGTGTAAAAAATTATAATGTATGAATTTGAGTGCATTTTTAAAAAAATGAAACAGTTCCTGTGAGATGTTGGACTAATTGACTACATAGCAAGAAGAAAAAACTCATGCATATAACTATATACAGAAATAAATTTCATATGGGTTAGAAGTTAAATGCTAAAACTGAAACAAACACTTTTGATGGAATATACTGTATAATTCTAGTATTAGAAAGAAATTATCAAAAATGCAAACCATAAAAGAAAAGAAAGATCTATCTGTCTCCATTATCTTATTATTTTGGCTCCATTATCTTTACACTCGCTAGAGACAATTCGGAGGCTCTCTTAAAACCACTGAGTTTCTCAACTGCCAACATGAGTTATGGTGTCTGGGATTCTGCTTGACTGTTTATAATTAGGAAGCATTTGTACTGGAATATTATTAGTAAGAGACAAGAGGGAGAGATTTCTTTCAATCCATTCTAGCCTCAGTTTAAATTTTATCTCCCAAACAAGTTCAATCCTAGGCCCTATACCTGCCACTAAAACGATTCTACTGATCTTTAGCCTTTATCCAAATACAACAAAGTAAAGAAAATGCAAGACCTGAAGGGGAATCCTGCTTTATTAGCAGTAAAATTCCTAATCCATGTCATGAGTTTACTGAACTTCAAATTGCTCTGCTCTTTCTTTCAGATGTCCAGTCTTTCGGAGTCACCATTTGGCTGAAATTTTCCATTTCAATTCTGTGTGTGATATTGTTTCTGATTTCTGTGGGCTTTTGCTGTCAGTGCTTCAACAAAAGAGGTAACAGTTGCAACAAAGGTGGAATCATTTAGGGCATCTCTCATAATATGATGCCTTAGTCGCATGGGGTGCTTAAGCAAAGCCACATGATCTTTGTCTACCAATACCAAGCCTTGCATAGGGCATCTTAAGTCTTGTTTCTCACTTTAAAAGTGTTAAACTTCACAGTTCTCAATTATGAGCTTCCTAGAACAAGGATATTTTGAGAAATGAAGTCAGTATATATGTCTCCTGAGCTGCTCAGACCCACAGTTATTTCTGCATCCTTATAGGAGTGCTTTCTCTCTCAAGTCTATTCAATCAAAATAAAGTGGATCCAACCTCTGCTTTACTCAAAATAATTTAGTAATGGGTGAATCCTGTGTGTCTTGCTCAGGATGCACTTAATTTGATCATAATCTTCTTGCCTACACAGATTGCCATTAATTTTCAAGGCAAGAAACCAAGTCCTTTGCAACCAGATTCTTTCTTCAGGTTTTATGGTTAAAATACATGACTATATCACCCTTATTTATGAATATACAGTGGCCCATCAAGTACATGGACATTGGACATTTTTAAGAACAACTCTTTTTTTCAATGGATGACCAAGCAAAATAGATCACATATAGTTGAGTACACTGCTAGGTGGGGATGTGAATTTGGAGATACAATTTAATGGAGATAAGTCAAAAGATAAGATACAACTCATTGTGCTCATTTCCCTATATAATTCATACACTTATTCAGTGCCTACCCTATGCTAGGCATCAGAAGAATTATTTACAGAATTTATGTGAATTAATCATAAAAGGCAATGCTATTTTATAGATGGTTCACATAGCTCATAAGTGACAGAGCTCATAAGTGACAGAGCTGAGATTGGAATGCAGATGTATTTGGCTCCAATTCTCATGCGTTAGTAATTATGCTTCTTTCTGGTATTTAGTTTCAGGTTTCTGCCTGTACACTTTAATGGTTGAGGAGGTTATTAACTCATGAGGTAGCCTGTTGCAGTTATCATGGGATTTTTTTTCATTTTGAAAATCTAATCTATTGATACATGACATCTACCAATTATATCACAATGAGTAGCTCTTCTTCGTCATTTCCACGAAAGTCTTTTAATGACTTGAGATCATAATTTTACTCCAACTGAGTTTCTTTAAAAAGTACCTCATTGTTTCAGGTTATTTTCCTCTGGAAGGTGATATAAATCACAGAACATATATTTTAGTATTATATGGGAAAACATTTTAATGATCTCTGTTTAGCTTATAGAGAATCCCCTTGACAGTGGGATTCAAGCTAAGGTGTGTAAGTATGCTCAGAGTCTGTGGATCCAAGACAATTTTTTTTTTTCTTTCGCCAACTCAGTGTCACCACAACTACATCTGTTCAGTCCCACAATCCTCATAATCCTCAGAAATCTGATGAAGATTTCCTTCCTAGAGACTCTCTTCAGTGCCCCCAGCCAGATTAATTTCATGCCAGATTAGGTGGTGAGAATTAGGAAACTCCTCTTAGCCCAATCTTACTAGGCCCTGCCACCACCCACAAACTACTGAACTCACTTCCTGAGCCTTATCTAGGTTAAGTGGGCATGGAACAATGACTATGCTTTTTCTGATAATGGTTCTTAGGTCAGTGATGCCCCCAATTCCTGCATTCCTCCTTTGCTAATTCTCTCTCTCTCTCTCTGTTCTAGCATTCCGTTGTGACTTCGTTCATTTCTTGAGCAAAGTCTGTGCTCAAGTCATGTGTTGGATATGCTTTTTTGGAGTGCTCATTTTATATATGATATTCCGGACAAGAGGTAAATGGGATCAGTAGTGGTGGACTCTCCCTTTTCTTGGGGCTTGTCAGCCAAAGCTGTGTGGCTCTTTCATCATCACCAGGAAGATTGGCGGTTTGGGTGGCATCTCAGAGGACCAAATTCCAACACTAAGGTTGTCACAGGTGTCAAAGACCGAAGCTGCTGTGACTGTTGCCAATGTTCTCAGTATTGAGGATGTAGCACCTGCTACAAGGAGGAAGAAATATTCTGGCTTCAGAAAATATGATTGGGTCCAGCCGCTTATTTACTAGGGCTACCAAAGTATACATTCATAACTCTAGGCCAATGTTTCTTATCTTTTGGGGGCTTAGAGTCTATATCGAATGTATAAAGTCAAATATGGATGTTTTCCATCCAATTATCGGACTCACATATACCTCTTCTGTTCACATGCAAATTCAGGAGGCTTATCAAACATTGAAATCCTTCCTGGACCTATTGTCTATGAAATGTGGCTATCACTTAGAGGTGAAATCGACAGCTATTATATATAATAAGAAGTATAATAATAATATTAGCAGAAAATATAATATTCAAAAAGATGACTGATGCTTGACAATTTTTCATTATTTAGAAGTTTCTAAAGAAATGTATATAGAGGACAATTACCATGTAATCAAGGCAAAAAAAAAAAATGTGTTATTTTACTTGAGGCATCACTTTCAAACCACAAAGAAGAATTTTGGAGAATTCGAGTGGTCGCCAGCAGGTTCCCTCGGTTCCCATCCTCATGCTTGATAGGTCCTGAACCACAACATGCACAGGCCTTTATTTCGACTCTTTCTGCTGAAAATTACAAAACCCTATCTTTGAACTTATCAAACCAATAGCTAAAAAAACATATTTTCCAGTACTAAAGGAAAACTAATGTTTGTATGAACAAATAAGCACCTAGATAAAAATGTGGGAAAAAAATAGTAAACCTAAGCCAAAGTTCCCTGGGACTTCTTAATTTCAACTAAGTTTCAGTACTTACTCCTGAAGATTTGGTAGTAGTAAATATGAAAAGCCAAAGACCAGGATACAGACCAACTCAGCCATTATCATTAGAGGCAAATATAAATTGTTCCTAATTGTAAAGAGTTTTTCGAGTTTATTGACCTCCTAGCTGTGTGGTCAGAATTTTTAAAAATAAATATCTAAGAATTGAAGGGATCATATGTTAAGTGTATATTTAACTTTATAACAAACTGCAAAAGTGTCTGTATCATTTTACTCCTCACCAGCAATGGATAAGAGAACACTTATTCCTCATGTTTTCCAGTATTTGGTTCCATTAGTCTCTCTAATTTTAGCTTAGAGTTTGTAGTGGTATCTCCTCTTGGTTTTAATTTCCTTTTCCTAAGCATTTCATATAAATGGAATCAAATAATATTTACTCTTTTTTGACTGGCTTCTTTCACTTAGCATATTGTTTTAAAAGTCCATTCATGTTTTGGTATGTATCAGTTCTTCATTCTTTTTTATTGCTGAATACTATTCTATCATATGAATATAGAACATTTTATTTACCCATTCTTCAGTTAACATACTTTGGGTTGTTTCCGATTTGGGCTAATATTAATAATTTTGTTATGGGGGGTGGCTCCACAGTGTAGTGGTTAGCACGTCTGCTTTACACGCAGAAGTTCCTAGGTTTGCACCCCAGGTGGAGCCATGGACCATACCCCGGGTGCGCCAGGCCTCGGGGGCACCAAGCCAGGGGTGCATGCCTCGAGCATGTGGGAGGGGACGCTCCGCCTTCAGAACCCCGGGTGCGCCAGGCCTCGGGGGCACCAAGCCAGAAGTGCACGCCTCGAGCATGTGGGAGGGGACACCCCGCCTTCAGAAATCCAGCTCTTAAGGAGAAACGGCAACATCCATAGGTCAAGGGTGGAATTGGAGGGGGGAGGAATTAAAGAGGGGAAACAAATAATTTGTTATGAATATTTGAGTATAAAGCACATGGATGTCATTTCACTTATTTAGATCGTATATAATTACTTTCAACAATGTTTTATGATTTACAGTGTACAAGTCTGAAGATTTTGTCATTTAATTGCTAGGCATTCTATCTTTTTCAATGTTATTGTAAGCAGACTTGTTTTCTGAATTTTACATTTACCTTGATCATTGCTAACTATGGAAATAAGGCTGGCATTTGTGTATTATTTTTGTATCCTGAAACTTTGCTAAATTCATTCATTTATTTATTTGTTCTAATAGTTTGTGTGTGTGTGTATGTGTGTATTTCTTAGTATTTTCTATATATAAAATCATATTATCTGTGAATTGAGTTTTACTTTTTCCTTTACAATCTGGATACCTTTTATTTCTTATTCTTGCATAATTGCCCTGACTAGGAAATCCAGTGCAGCACTGAGCATAGTGGTTAAGAGCAGACATCCTTGAAGTATTCCTGATCATAAGGGGACAGTATTAATTCTTTCTCTAAATAGTTTATCATTAACTGTGGGTATTTTCATAGATGGCTTTTTATCAAGTTGAAAGTTCTATTATGTTTCTGACCTGTTGATTGTTTTTATCATGAAAAGGTGTGTTTCATCAGGTGCTTTTTCTGCATCTATTGGGATGATCTTGTTGTTTTGTCTTTTATTTATTGTATTAGTTTGATTTGCATATATTATATTTATATAATATTTTTTATATAAGGCATGATTTGGTTTGCTAGTATTCTATTTTTTTTTAATTGAGGAATAATTTCTTCTGGTTCAGGATTATATGTCTATATTTATAAGATATATTGGTCTATAGTTTTCCTGTAATATCTTTCTCTGATTTTAATATAAGAGTAATATTATATTACTGGTCTTGTGCAATCATTTAGGAAGTGATCTGCTTTTCTTTTGTTTCGAAAGAGATT